AGGGTAAACAATAACCTTCCATGGAAAGTAGCTCGAACCTTGGTCAGGACCACTGACATCTCAGGAGTACGTGTGCTGAATCTTTGCGACCGGGAACAGATTATAGAAAAAGGTACACTGGTTGGTACTTGTGAGGAAGTGGATTGGTTACGTCAGTGCCAATATATATCGAGTGGGACCCCCAGCAAGGATTCAGAAACGAGGTGACCACACTTTTGGAAGACTGTCGCAGTGTTCTGTCCCCGAACGAATTGGTGAAGGCGAAGAAGTTGTTACTCGAGTACGCCGATGTATTCTCATAAACGATGTGAATAGGAAAGACTGGTTTAGTTCCACAAAATAAACACAGGTGAAGAGTTGCGTATCCGTCAGCGGCCAAGACGATTGCCGGTAGCACGTGAAAAGGAAGTGGAAACCATGATTGAGGGAATGGTGAGGGATGGTGTTATTGAACCTTCATCTAGTCCATGGTGTTCACCCGTGGTACTGGTAAAGAAGGATGGTAGCTTGCGGTTTTGTGTTGACTACCGCCGTCTAAACGACGTTACTAAGAAGGATAGCTATCCCTTGCCGAGAATTGACGACACGCTGGACATGCTTACAGGAGTAAAGTGGTTTAGCACGCTGGACCTAAAAAGTGGCTACTGGCAAGTTGAAATTGACCCTAAGGACAAGGAGAAAACTGCGTTCTCGACGGGAAAGGGTCTGTGGCAATTTAAAGTAATGCCGTTTGGGTTGTGCAATGCTCCAGCAACGTTTGAAAGGCTGATGGAACTTGTACTTACCGGGCTAATTGGCGATGCCTGTCTGGTCTACTTGGATGACATCATCATCGTGGGCCGTACGTTTGAGGAACACCTTCAAAACCTGGAACGCGTGCTCATGAAGATTAAGAGTGCCAACCTTAAGTTGAGTCCGAAGAAATGTTCACTATTCAAACGGCAAGTCAACTTTTTGGGGTATGTAGTGTCGGAAGAAGGTATCCGCACGGATCCAGAGAAAATCGCAGCTGTAAAGGATTGGCCGGTTCCAAAAGACAAGACGCAGGTTAGAGCATTTTTGGGTTTGTGCTCCTATTACCGACGTTTTGTGAAGAACTTTGCAGATATAGCCAAACCTCTGCATAAGCTAACCGAGGAGAAGCGACATTTCTGCTGGGATGAAAGTTGTAACATCGCATTCCAGGAGCTCAAGGACCGTCTGTGCAAAACACCTATTTTGGGATACCCTGATGCAAGCAAAGAATTTATAGTTGACACAGACGCAAGTGATATAGGACTTGGCGGTGTGTTGTCTCAACGTAATGGTGACCAAGAGGTCGTGATAGCGTACTTCAGCAAGTCGTTGTCAAAACCGGAAAGGAACTACTGTGTCACAAGACGCGAATTGCTAGCTGTGGTAAAGTCGTTGCAACATTTTAGCAAATATCTTCTGGGACGAAAATTTCACTTACGAACTGACCATGCTGCACTAAAATGGCTATTGCAGTTTAAAAACCCAGAAGGACAAGTTGCGAGGTGGATTGAACTACTGCAGGAATACGACTTTGAGATCGAACATCGCAGCGGGAAATCTCATGGCAACGCAGATGCATTGTCAAGAAGACCTTGTCCTGAAGATTGCAAACATTGTACTAGGCAAGAGAGTAAGGAAGTGGTATCCGTGAGGATGCTCAGGGCAGACCACCTCAGCAACGAGTGGAAGGACAGCTTACTACATGCACAGCAGGAAGATCCGGACATCAAGCCGATTCTGGAATGGGTAAAGGCCAGTGCTCCCAAGCCCAAGTGGAGTGACGTCTCAGCGATGAGTTCGACCACTAAAAGCTATTGGGCCCAGTGGGACAGCTTGCTGCTTCAGGATGGAGTTCTGTGTCGTAAATGGGAAAACGTTCGGGGAAACAGCTGTCATTTGCAAATGGTTGTCCCTAAAGTTAAAGTACCGGATGTTCTACAGCTGTACCATAATGATTGTTCAGGAGGCCATCTGGGAGTTAAACGAACTCTACTGAAGATCCGAGAACGGTTTTACTGGGTCCACTGTCGAAACGATGTCGAGGACTGGTGTCGCAAATGTACAAGTTGTGCGGCTGTAAAGGGACCTCAGACTCGTAGTAGAGGTGCATTGAAGTTGTACAATGTTGGTGCACCATGGGAGAGAATAGCCATTGATGTGGCGGGGCCGTTTCCGGAGAGTGAAAGCGGTAACAAGTATTTCATGGTTGTGATGGATTACTTCACTAAGTGGCCAGAAGTCTTCGCCATTCCAAATCAAGAAGCTTCAACAGTTGCAGATAAACTAGTTCATGAAGTCTTCTGTCGTTTTGGAGTACCTTTAGAGATTCACAGCGATCAAGGAAGGAATTTTGAGTCTCAAATATTCCAGGAAACTTGCCGAGTTATGGGTACTCATAAAACAAGAACGACTTCTTATCACCCGCAATCTGATGGAATGGTGGAACGATTTAATCAGACATTGGAGAGGTACCTAGCAAAAGTTGTAGACAATCGGCAACGAGATTGGGACAAGCACATACAACCGTTTTTGTTGTCATATCGAAGTTCTGTTCACGAAAGTACAACAGTGACACCAGCTTTCGCAAACTTTGGAAGAGAATTACGGCTGCCTGCAGACCTGATCACCGGGATACCACCCGATGCTCCACGCAGTATAACCGATTATGCAAATGACTTGCGGAAAAAAATTAATGACGTTTATGAGCACGTCAGACAATCGGGCCAGCAAATGTCTGAAAAGATGAAAACCCGGTATGACCGCAAAATGAACAACAAAGGGTTCGACGAAGGTTCACTTGTGTGGTTGCACAATCCAGTCCGCAGCAAAGGGAAATCTCCTAAGCTTCAAGCTAAATGGGACGGCCCGTACCGGATTGTAACCAGGATCAACGATGTGACCTACCGGATACAGAAAGGCGCAAGAGGGACTCCTAAGATCGTCCATGTGGATCGCTTGGCGCGTTATTATGGGACCGATAATGCTCGGGACGAGCATGTCTTAGGAGGGGGCAGTGTTGCATGAATAAGTCAACTAGCGCCATCTAGTGTCAGGAACGAGAGCGAGGGGAGCATTGAGAAAATGACATCACAAATCACTCAACTGACAGCGCCTAGTCGAAACTCGAACGCTCGGTACCTTGCGCGTGTTTACTTGAACATTCTGGATATTTCTTTGCTAATTTAAATATATAGGCGCTGCAAGATGCGATGGGAGTAGTGTTGATTTGGCGAAGCAAGCGAAGCTTCGGAGCGGTATAAAGTGAATAAGTGTGTTTAATTATTAGTGTTTTTAACTTTAATTTGTGTAAAGTAAATTAAAGTGTTAATTTAGGTAATTTTATCGGCAATTTTTATTGTCACGAACCGCAAGCTCGTAACAATATGGTTAGGTTAGTGCTAAATAAATATTCAACTAAAACCTTACCTCGTTCAAACTAATGAGGGTCACTCGAGAGGCCAAGCTTGCGAGCCCCACATCGAGACTGCCGGGCGAACACGTGCTCCCGGTGTGGATCCGGCTAATAACGATTAGGCAAAGGTGTTGCAGAAATGATGCCTTATCTTCTGCGATAAGTGTACTATAACTCATATATAAGGCATTGATGCTGTTGACAAGACACCACGGAATAAACGGAGAAGTTATCGTGCAATCATGGCTGTGTTCTATTTGCTGGTGATTTTTGCCAGATTTTACCTGAATAAATAGTAGGTCTAATGTTCACCGCTCACTGTTTATTCTGTGATTCTTAGCGACGAAGACCTTATTAAGAAAAGAAAAAGTTATTTCACATAACTGTACTGAATAAAGAAAAATTATTACTTTTTTATGAAAAGTTATTAAGTTTTTATGAATTTAGGGAACTTCTGCTTCCACGCGGACCAAATCGCATGCACAGCTTGTAAAAAAAAACATAGGTACAGGAATAGCCACAATCCTTCTTATATTGTTCTTAAATAAATCTGTCTAGTTTTAGAGGAAGAAACACATGATGATGATTTCGTCGAATTTCGAGCTGCTTTTATCTCTCTCTTTTGGGGTCCTAACTTAGTCGTACGGGCACAGGGCGACACATGGATGTTAGAGAACAGGAGGACGATCACCTTAGAAAAGTGTCCCAGAAATATGGACACTATAAGTGAGGCGCTGCGATCGCTAAGTTCGCTCAATAAAAATCGTTTCAGTCTATTTTTCCGATCAGATGCTAGGTAAACTATTTGCACATCCACGCACAATAAAATATTTCTCCATTTTTTTAATGTTTTTTTCTTGTCAAAAATTACGGAGCATGAAAATTTTCGCCAATGCCGCGAAGAAAATTTGTACATTATTCAACTAACCTCATCTACTTGTACTCATAAACAGCTAACTTCGCAGCCATTACTCACCGACGTCAGCGACGCTATAAATTCTACAAATTTTTTTAAGGACAGGCGGGCTATGCTTTAGTACGTAGCGATCGTTCTCCTGTTCTCTAACCTCCATGGGGCGACAGTAATAGATCGTTACAATTTATACTTTAAATTTTTTGCAGCCCGGATTTCCTCTTACCTGTCCCTAATACAACTAAATTAAATCCTAAATTTACTGCTTGTTTATAAGACCGCGAAAGTTCACAGCTTGACAATGGCCTCTCCCGTTGGGAGGATGCGCCTTGATCGCTACGCTTGCCGGGCGAAGTGGCGATCGCAGTCCTATATGTACTACATTTTGATGCTATTTCTGCCCATCAGTTTCAATAAATTATGTCTGTGTTAAACAAGATGGTTTTATCGCCAACTATCGGAAGTCGTATGGCAATATCAGAGAATCCCCCATTTTCGTTTCGTGGTTTTCCGTAAGAGGCAAATATGGGAAAACCCCAGTAAGTCTAAATAATGTTATTTTAGATTTAAGACATTACATAATGATTTTTGTTCAATATTATAAATGGCAAGTCCAAGGGTGTTCCAAGGGTGAATCCATTTGTTACATGTTATATACATTTATTTTATTGTATACAAAAATATATCACTGTTATCTTCGACATCAAAAAATATTTCATTTTCAATTTGATTAGGCTTACACGCAGTTAACCAGTCCATAAATTCTTCAAAAATGCCTAAATAATTCAATGTATCCGTCACGCTTCTAGCAGCTACAATATAACTCCCCTTTTTTAGATGTTTTTTGAAAAATTGCCACACTTGCTTGTGTTTCTCAATATTCACAAAAAAATCGAGATTGTTAATTACTATTATATCAGACTGTCTCACTACGTCAGGCATGTCCATTATATCAGAATGTATCACTTTAACTCTATTTTTATCCATTGAAAATTGCCCTATTATTTTTTCTTGAATTTCACAATACTCTTTGTTTATTTCTACTCCAGTTATAGAAGATGCATTTGACAAATAATACGCCTGAAAGTAATAAAAACAGATTATAAAAATTAATGTGGTCCAACACGTAGTAACTAATTAACAATAAAGAAAAGTGAAAATTATAAAACACTAAACTATTTACCGATTATAATTTATGATATATTTGTAGAAAAATCGAATGTCTTTTGAATACTCTTTGAATGAAAAATCACTAAATGATAATGAATAAAACTAAATTTACGGATTTTATCGCGTTTATTTCATTACTTTTACTTATTTTTAATTCCCGACGTTTCGGGTGCTTTACAGCACCCATGGTCACGGGGGGGACTGTGATGTTTGACGTCCCAATGTCATAGTTAGTCCGGCTACCTTCAGTTTTTGAATATTAATTTTTGGTCCGATTTACGCAAAACGAGCTTATAGTATCATGAAGTCTTGCAGCGGTATGCTTAGGTTTGGGTTTAATTTTGTTAATCAAGGTCCCAAGCAGGTGGCAGCACCCATCCATCTTCCCTATTGAAATTTGGATGTTTTTTAATTTCAATAGCCTCGCGTATCATCCTTGGTAGGAATCGGTGTTCTTTTGCGAGAATTTGTGGTTTATCAAATCGAATGTAATGGTGGGGACGATCTTGAACATGTTCGCAGACTGCAGACTTCCCAGAGCGTCGGTGCTTCACGTCAGCTATATGTTCTTTCACGCGGGTTTTTATGGATTTTTTTGTTTGACCTATGTAAGAGAGACCACATTCACAATCTAACTTGTACACTCCTGCATCTTGTAGAGGGATATTACACTTGACGGATGGTAAAAATTGACTAATCTTCTTCGGCGGCTTGTAGTATGTTTTAATGGAAGCTCGCTTCAAGATGTAGCCAACCTTGTCTGTGACTCCTCTGACATATGGTAGTCAAAACATACACTGGACGAACCAACAATAAAGGTATTAGCGAAGGGAATGAACTTCGCATTAACACCGCGAAAAATCCCGTACGAAGAAATTATCTGCAGCGTTGAGGATTGTCTGTTTAAAAATAATATTGGTAAGGAAGATTTGGAGGCTATACGTCAAGATATTTCGTCCTTGCTACGTCGTAGTTCAGTGCCGAAAACTTACGGAACAGACCAGAGCTAACGATTCTCCGCGCGGATAAAGGAAATGCTACGGTAATAATGGACACGTCAGAGTATAATTTTAAAATACTACAGCTTTTATCGGACGAAAGTACATACAAAAAGGTCAAAACAGACCCTACAACTAACACGCTTAAAGCAACTAGCGATTTAATAAAGAAATACTCCGAAAAATTAAATCTCGACGTGAATTCGCTAATACCATCATGTACCAAACCAACGAGGTTGTATGGGTTACCGAAGATACACAAACCAAACGCTCCACTACGTCCTATAATGAGCCAGATCGATTCACCAACTTATAAGCTGGCACAACATTTGGCAAAAGTACTGTCACCACTGAGAGGACATACCAGAGCACACACAAAGGATTCATACCATTTTGTTAGTGTAAAGTAGTGTAGTTATAAAAGACCTACATCTCGCTGACAATGAAACTATGGTCAGTTTTGATGTTCAGTCACTATTCACATGCCTACCTATTGAAGACTGCATATCAATTGTAACTAGAAAGCTAGAATATAATAACATGCCTGCTGAATATGCAGTATTACTCAAACACTGCCTCACATCTGGCTATCTATTGTGGAAGGAAGAGTTCTACAAGCAAGTAGATGGTGTGGCGATGGGCTCACCTGTATCTCCCATAGTCGCCGACATATTCATGGAGGACTTCGAGGAGAAAGCCCTTCTTACTGCTCCTGTAAATCCAAGATTCTACAAGCGGTACGTAGACGACACTTTCACAATTTTACCATCTGACAAAGTAACTGCACTTTTAAACCACCTTAACTCTATAAACTATAAAATACAATTCACAATGGAGTTAGAAGCAAATAATTCTTTAGCTTTCTTAGATGTTTTAGTCATTCGAAATCCTAATAACACAATTGGTCACACTGTGTATAGAAAAAAGACCCATACCAACCGAAATTTAAATGGTGAATCTCACCACCATCCTTTACAGTTAGCTACCGTGGGTAAATCTTTGTTTCAGAGAGCACGAGGGATCTGTGACAGAAAACATCTGGCCGCCGAACTTCAGCACGTCAAGCAAGTATTGCAAGACAACAAGCTTCGGGTCACGCGCCTACGTCACAGTGACCGAGTGAAGCCGGCCACAGTCGAGCGTGTACCTGCTGTATTACCATATGTCAGAGGAGTCACAGACAAGGTTGGCTACATCTTGAAGCGAGCTTCCATTAAAACATACTACAAGCCGCCGAAGAAGATTAGTCAATTTTTACCATCCGTCAAGTGTAATATCCCTCTACAAGATACAGGAGTGTACAAGTTAGATTGTGAATGTGGTCTCTCTTACATAGGTCAAACAAAAAGATCCATAAAAACCCGCGTGAAAGAACATATAGCTGACGTGAAGCACCGACGCTCCGGGAAGTCTGCAGTCTGCGAACATGTTCAAGATCGTCCCCACCATTACATTCGATTTGATAAACCACAAATTCTCGCAAAAGAACACCGATTCCTACCAAGGATGATACGCGAGGCTATTGAAATTAAAAAAACATCCAAATTTCAATAGGGAAGATGGATGGGTGCTGCCACCTGCTTGGGATCCTACTTGGGCTTGATTAACAAAATTAAACCCAAACCTAAGCATACCGCTGCAAGACTTCATGATACTCTAAGCTCGATTTGCGTAAATCGGACCAAAAATTAATATTCAAAAACTGAAGGTAGCCGGACTAACTATGACATTGGGACGTCAAACATCTCAGTCCCCCCCCCGTGACCATGGGTGCCGTAAAGCACCCGAAACGTCGGGAATTAAAAATAAGTAAAAGTGATGAAATAAACGCGATAAAATCCGTAAATTTAGTTTTATTCAATGTGTAGTGTTCGCGTAAATTTAAGAAATCATTAAGAAGTGGCATCTACAACACGCACGAAAGTCGCGCTGACCGTTTTTGTGCATAATTGGCCCTATTACGTATTATTGCGTATGATTGGCTGTGCGGATCGTTCGCACGCGCTGATTGGCTCTCCAATCGCATTCCGTCACCCGTACTGATACGACATTCGCAGCTAGCCCCTCCACGTTTCGTTTAGCGTTAGAGTTACGTGCCGCGAGTTGTACCTGATAACAACCTAACAACAATAAAAAAAACAGCGGTAGCCAAGTTTTCCGAACGTGGTAAAAGCATGCTGCAGCTATACTAGTAGTACAGTTGTAGCACGAATGGGTCGCCTCGACCGGGGAAGGACCACGCTCTCACAGAATACCAGCGAATAATAGTAGCTTAACGCTGCTGTTTCGTATGGTAAGTGTAGGGAACCGGAGACCACTTTTACTGAAAACGAGGCATTTCATCTTAGTCCTCACGGATGACAACGCATCTGCAATTTAATTCGTAATCGAGGATAGATATAGATTTTTATGGGCCATAGCAATCTCTTACCATCAAGTGGACTGTGTACTCGTTTATCACCCTATCTTATAAAAAAAAAAAACGAATTGAAACTGACAGAAGAAATACCATACTCACACAATACGGGCCTAAAATATCTACATAAAGCTGCTTTGTTTCATATAGTGAGTAAGGAGAATCAGTACTAATGATGTATTCGATTTTAGTCTCAATCATAAAGGGCAAAAATGCATCCGTATATGGATTCTTAACTGCGCTGCGCATAGGCACAGCGCTGTTCAAGAGACCTTACAGATGGGATATGGGAAACGAATGTACTTGTGCAGAGCAACGGTGGGGGTACTGCGGTGCCGGGAGTCATCCGATCTTGTGACTTCACTGAGTTGAGTCTGATAGACAAAATGTACGGTTGACGCGACGCGTGTTTTATGTATATTTATTTAATTTAAATTGCCGTTTTCGAAAAATATAATTTCTATAATGGTAAATTACTGTTATATTTATATGAGTTACTAAGTAAAACTGAATTTAAATGACGGCAATGTTATTTTTCCCTTATATTTTTTGATAATAAGATAATTATTCATCCGAATGCGAATACCTATACTACATATATTTAATTTAAATAATCCGAAACGGTAAACAACGATAAAAATCTGAAAAGCGGTTGACCGGTAGGACAACCCTGAAACTTCCCGCTTTTTTCGAGCTTGACACGCTCGAAAATCTTCCAATTGATTGATTTTTGAGCTCTTCCAGGTCATAAATTCAAAAGATATATCTAGAAAACGATTATTTCGAAATTTCAAATGGCTATAACTTTTGAACGCTTTTTTCTGTTTTGATTTACTTGGCGTCATTCAACGCAGTTTTGTAAAAGCAAAAAGTTATTTGTCATGTTTTGAGTCGATAGATCGAAGAATTTAAAAGTTATCTAAAAAAAAACTATTATTTAGAAAATTTTAAATGGCTATAATTTTAGAACGCGTTGTTCGATTTTGACTTACTTGGCGGCATTCGATGCAGTTTTTCAAGTATAAAAAAGTGTCTTTGATGTCAGGAGTTGATTATACTCAAATATTTTGAAAGTTATTTAAAGAAAACTTGAAATTAATTGAAAGTGGGTTTTACTTTTTGAATGTCTTTGAAACGCACAACAACAAACAAAACAAACAAACGCAAACACACAGACACACACACACACAGCACACAGAACACACACGCGCGCGCACACACACACACACACACACACACACACACACACACACCCACACACACACAAACACACACACAAAAACACACACACACACACAGCACACACACAGACACACACAGACACACACACACAGACACACACACAGACACACACACAGACACACACACACACACAGACACACACACACACACACACACACACACACACACACAACACACAACACACAACCGAAAAACACACAGACAAACACACAGACAAACACACAGACAAACACACCAACACACAGACAAACACACAGACAAACACACAGGGGACAAACACACAGACAAACACACAGACAAACACACAGACAAACACACAGACAAACACACAGAGAGACACACACACGGCCGGACGTCCAGCCAAAAATAGATCAGCGTCCTAGGACCTCAAAACGTAGAGATCTGATGAAAACTCGTATTCTCAAAAACGGCCCGAAATGTATATAACTTCCCGCTTTGAAAATAAATAATTTTCAAAAGTAGGAATGTATAGATTTCGTTCCGGTTTAGACACTCAACTGTGGGTACAGTTTAAAGAACAAGATCATAGTTTTACTACAAGAAATCTCATCTGCAAGTGTTGCACTGCCAAATATTTTCTTGACAATTTTTTTTATAGAATGTTTTCAGTTTAAGTATTAAATTTAATTATGTAGTGTATTCGCATTCTGATAAATTATTTTATCAAAACAAAAATAATATCAGAGAAACATAAGAATGATCGTCGTTTAAATTCAATTTTACTTAGTAACTCATATGACAATAATTCACCATTAATAGTCAAATTATATTGTGCGCTATCACAAAGACGGATCGCACCCTGCCCAGCAGTACCCCCACCGTTTTTTTGCACAAGCACATTCGTTTCTCAACTGTAAGGTCTTTAAACTGTGCTGTGCCATAGGTAAGTGTTAATGAGCCATAGTGTCAACTTACCATCAGGTGGACTCTGCTTTAATGCTTGTTTTATACAAATAAATGTGTAAGCATTAACATTTTTAGTTTATTTTACTGTTAACCTTACTAAATAGAATTACATACTCCATATAAAACTGCTCCTGTTCTGGAACCCACATCTAGTAACTGTTTTCCTTCCAAATCTTTTGGTAGCAAAAGTTTAAAGATATATAGTAGATTTTGTCTTGACAATGAATGAGAAATAAAAATTAAATCCTGAAAAAAAATTATTAATTAATGTCGTACAATTATTAATTATAGACAAAGTTGTAAGTATTAATAAGTTTGGGCTAATTTAAATTGTTAATAAAACAAAGAAAACAATAGTCAGTAGAATTGTGATTCACATAAGAAATGTGTCTATTTCTTATGTGCATCACAATTTAGCGAAATAAATAGTGTTTTATGATCGTAATATTGGTGATGAATAATAACAGTAATAAATGATGAAACAAAAGCCAATAAAGTCACGGCGACAGTCTCTCTAGACTAGCCATCTGCGCAGGACAAGATTATAATGACCGAGAGTGTGCGCAATCTATTCTCTCTCTCTATTCCCTCACTCACAGACCGTTAAGACCGTAATTCTGCCTGTGCTTTTTGGTGCAGCCAGTCCCAAGCCCGGATAAAAGAGGAGGGGTGGTTTTGCCGGAGAGAGTGGGTTTATCCGGTGGACTAACACACCCTCCTGCGCAGTCAAGCGCCGTAAGTGGGGATGATGAAGGAGTCTTTTAGGGTTGAGCCGAACGTCACTGGGGTATATAGTGGTGAGAGGCAACACGCCCTCTTTGGTCCGGATTTCAAGCTAAATGGTGGCCCTATCTGCTATCCACAGATAGGGAAATGGCCAAGAGTCTCGTCAGAGGGTCGCAGGCGAGGGATGTGCGAGCTGCCTAGTTTCCCTGAAAAAGCATGATCTTTACCAAGGTGGGGATAAAGATCATGCTCACGGAGCAAGTGACAGTCTATTCGGGCAGTGGGGATGGACCTTTTCAGCCCTATCTGCTAGCTGGATCGAGCTCCCGATGTCGAGCTGTGAGCCAACTTCACGTCCCTATATTCCCCCGGTAATCCTAACCGTTGGGAACGCCCTAGTAGTAGGTACTAGGGCGTTCCCAAAGGTGCGGGCTCTAAAGGAAAGGAAGCCGGGGGACCGAATTTTAAACACACAAAAATCTATAGATAATTTAAGGTCTATTAGGAAAGAGGGAGAGGTGTTAGAGGTGCTTACCATAGACACCAATGAACAAGGAGGAGCCGCCATTAAACCGACGGTTCCACGGATTGTACCATCCAGCGTAGGTGGCTCCGCCAAGGGGGCAACTTCCGCGCTGGATGTTCCCAAAACCAGTTCCAAACTTGAACTGGACGCGAGAAAGGAGCAAGGGACCGCGAGTAGCAAAACTTCAGCGGAGCCCCAGAGAACAGACGACCTTTTCTCTGCGCCTGGCAAGTGGTGAGCCGTAAGGGGAACGGCAAGGCACCCAAAAAGATGACTTGCCGACCTGATGGACCATCAAGTGGGTCTGTCCCAGCAGGCAGTGGTGCAAAGGCCAAGAAAAGGAATAACAAGTAGCGAAAAAGAGGCCGTAAAGAAAGTGCCGCGCTGGCTGCTTCTAAGAGCAGCATCAAGGAGACTGGGCAAGTTACTGCCACTGTGGTGCTTGGGGCTGGAACCAGTAGCTGTACTGAAACTGGGAAGGATAAAAATCCTGCCCAAGTAGAAGTCGCGACAGCAAGCACCAGCTATAAGTTATCCTCCAGGAAGCAGGAGCGGTCAAGCATCCTGCTAAGAAAGAAAGAGCAGCCAAAAGAATGCTGGAAGAGTCCATCTCGCCGAGAAGCGAGCACAAAAAAGTGCGACGCGAACAGCAACCAAAGGCTGCACGAACCAGCTACGCTTTCACTGCTAAAGCAGATTTGGGTATGGCCTTAACGTGTACGCGTTAAGGTCACATAACGAAGGAGATAGCTGATAACATCCTCGTGGCAATACAGAGGAAGATAATCAGTGAGGCTTGGAGTAGCTAGGACGCTGATGCGTCGGGCCCAGTTTTTAGAGGCAAACCCGTTAACACGGAGAGTGTCCTGAAGGAGAATATTCTGGATTGGTTGAAAGGGAACATTGCTATCCTCGATCTCCTGAAATCCAACACCTCGCTGATCATAAAGAAACAGTCTGAGATACCACAGAGAATCAAGTGTGATATCCTTATCTTATTTTTGGGCGGGGACAAAGAAAACGCAATCAATGATGGCGATAGCGGTAAACCTCCACCACAGCGAAACTGCGTCGGCTGAATTACGCAAGTCAAGTCAAAGACGACAACGTCAGAATTTCTGCATGTGGAACAAGGATTATTAATCCTCTCTGACGAGAGATGTGGAACCAGGATATATAAGTGTTTAATAATCGAAATAAGCCATCTAGAAAATTGAAGTGGGTGGAGGCTCAAAGGACAGCCATAGCCTTAATCCAGGAGCCATGGGTTGGAGTTGGTAAAATCAAAGGCCTAAACAATCTAAAGGGTAATTATTTCTTATATTTACGCGAACACTACACATTTAAAGAATACTAGTTTTTACAGATTTTATCATGTATATTGATTTTTATACACCCGACGTTTCAAGCACTTTACAGCACCCATGGGCACAGGGGGGACTGAGAATTTAAACGTCCAGATGTCATAGTTAACCGCGGTTACCATAAATTGAAATACTAATTTTGGTTCCGATCTATGCAGTATGAACTTATATTATCTTGATGTCTGGCAGTTGTATGCTTGGATTGGGATTTAATTTTATTAACTATAGGATCCCAAGCAGATGATAGCACCTAGCCATCTTCTCTATTGAAATTAGGATGTTTTTTGATTTCAATAGCCTTGCAAATCATCCTTGGAAGGAATTGGTGTTCTTTAGCGAGGATTAGTGGTCTATCAAATTCGATGTAATAACGGGGGCGATCCTGTATATTTACAGACTTCAGAAGCAATAATGTGAGAATCAGCTATGATCGGCAAAGGTATTGCATAACTTATGTAAAAAAAAGTAAGACAGTCTATATAATAATGTAATTAGTGACTAGCTTGAAGAAATTACAGATTTTATCAAAATTTCAACGTCATAATACTCATATTCAACTATGAACTGCTTGTAAATAAGCTGATGTCATTTAAAAAAAAACTATCTAGTACTGCAAGAATCAGGATATTTCAGATCTGTTAGAGATAAGTTCAAATAAACAGTTCTGGCTCTGAATTCACTAATATGTAGCTATTTAGGTCTTGGAGACCAATATCACTGCAATTAGTACAGTTTTTGTTTACAAACGATCCTAATATTAATGAAATACCACTATTAGAAAATTAAAATTGGCCAAAACTAGAAGGGACATAAAGAATTTCAATATAGAGATAACATATCCTCTAAATTACATGCCAAGAAAAGAAATGTCATAAATCTATAAAAATAAATAAAACTTAAGTGTTTGTAATATCAAAATAACAGCTTTTTACTAAATGCATATGAAAGTATATGCGGTACTTATAACAAAAACACAATTTTGAAGAAAAAAAATTGTCTGTCTGTTCCAGCTAATTTTCGAAATGAATGGACCAATTTCGACGGATCTTTCACTGGCAGATAGCTGATGTTATAGGGAGTAACTTAGGCTACTTTTAAAGAATTAGGGGCGCACAAAAAAATTTAAATCCTTGAAATTCAATTGTAATAAATTTGATGCGAGCAAAGTCACAGGGAACAGGCAGTAATATATAAATAACAATAATATCATTCAGGCAGTTTTCAGCGGAGCAACTAAATATCCTATATATTTCAATCAATAGTCTCTATCCACATTCACATCACCTCAGATGTGGTTTAGGTAGCCAATTTTTCCATTAATGTGCATGATCAGCATGTACACACACATGAGGATGTTGTATTTACAAAACCCCATGAGCAGAATGCACTGTTGTGAAGGTTTTCAAATGTAGCTGATGTAGCAAAAATTCATTTATAAGCGAAGGGCATTTGACATTTATGGGTACTAATAAATTAAAATACCAAACCTATATTTGGATTTAGACTGGATATTATATAAAAAACCTGATTTATTTTAATTTTAATCATGATATCCTCTCAACTGTCCCGGCCCAAATAGTCGCTTTGGCACATACTGTCCAACCTTGAACAAGTGATTTATTGCGTAGGGCCGATGCGCCGGTAAGCCGGTCGGGTCTAGATTTTGGCCTTTAGCACGAGGTGATGCAGTAAATTTGATTTAATAACAATTTTAGTAAATATTATCGTAGTATCGTATAATAGTTACACTATATCTGGTAGCATTAATTAATCCGGTAAACACAACACGCGATTTATAATAAATAGTTTAGTTCGACGCCGGCACAGAAGCTGTCAAAATGGGTAATATCGAGCAAAAAAAATAGTGGCGCGCGTTCCATTCAAAAGTAAGTTTCGTGCTGTATTTAATACAATTACTTAATATTGTGCTTATATTTCACTGTATAAATAACCTAATACAGTTATTTGACACTGATTATTATAATACTTTATTGATAAAGTTAATAAATTAAGTGGCCGAAAAGTGACACATAAAATGGTCCCATTATTTGGTTGTCGGCCATGCGGCCGAAAAGTAGCCTGAGTTTAGCCTAAATACTTTTTCTCTTTCGTTTATTTGGTTATGTACTATAATTCATCTTTCTTACTTATCATAGCGTGCATAGACACTAACTTTCAGTTTTCGGCCACTAATTACTGCAATTTGAACAGTTAGTGAAGAAACAAAAATACCCATTTCAGTTGTGGCCTAAAACTGGATTGAGTCTAAAATATTTATTTAGTTTTCGGCCAACTTAAAATTGTATGAAAGAATACGGCGGCGGAAAATACAATGCTGTTTTAGTTTACGTTTACGGCCATTCCATCAAACATTTTATTCACATTGCGTTTTAGGAAGAAGATTCAACAAGAATTTTTTTCTTCAGATGGCTCCTCCAAAGAAATATAATAAGTAAATGGCTTCAGAAAATGCGGACTTTATTAAATAGATCTTAATGCAGTGGATTACTCAAATTCAGTGCAGCAAACCCTAGAAAAACTAATCGGTGATAATTGAAAGAAAGAATAAATATTACTAAAGATATAACTAACGCAAACCTATAAGGAAATTGAAACAAAAGTCTTCTCAGATCAATATTGTTCCACACAGACAGGCCAACGAAGACTCGGAAATTCTCCAATTAAGCAATATAAGTCCATTTAAGTCCCCAGAAAGTCTGCAATACAGATCAAGATAAAAATATTCTAACTCACGATGTTGTGGTAACTACTTATTCATCTACCGATGCATCAGAATCGTTAATCGATAACAAAATTTCAACATTGCATTTGTCAGGAAGTTATTTGGATATTGGTTCCCAAGTATCGTTACATGATTGTTCTTGTAATCCAAACTCAAATAAGCCTACCAACGACAACAGTACTGACTACCTGAAATGATAATAGATTTCAGTAATGAAACAATAACGACTCAAATGACTACGATGATACCACTACAAACACTGACGATAACAAACAAGATCTCTGAAACTTTAGAAAATGTGTGGGTTGATATTCCAACTAAACAGACTAGTACACCTCTACAAACTAGTGGAACATTGATTTCAGTACTATTAAATAAAGAATATAGTGATGCAATAGAAAAAAACATTTAATTAAACCGTAACCTGTAAAAAAAATTAACTGCTTACAGTACACGTGCACCTTCTTCTGCAGCAATTTCATCTGCGGTGTGGCGAAAATTTTTTGAAGATAATTGAAAGATAAAATAGAGAAGTAAGAACTAAAATATTTTGAAAAAGAAAAAAATAGAAAAAGAAAAATTAAAGTGCTAAAGTTCAAATACGAAAAATAGCTAAATCCAAGAAATCTATGAAGGAGAAAAGGGTAAGAGTAAATTGCGCTTTGTGTCATAATATTTTAATAAACGATACAGAAGAAGATCTGGAAAAAAATATTGGATGTGATGTGAAAAAATCAATTAAAATTAAACGCAATAAAATCCGTAAAAGTAGTTTTAATCAATGTGTAGTGTTCGTGTAAATATAAGAAATCATTATATTGGATGTGACTTTTGCACCAAATGGATTTGAGATGTAATGGTTAGAGATGGTAACAGATTTTGTTGAACAAAAATACTTATGAGGAAGTACAAAATACTCGTAAATGAGAAGATTCGATTGATTTGCTATATTTAAAAGATTTTATTATTAGATTATGATTCAAAGAAAAATGATTAATCATGGTTATTATTTTATATCAAAACCACCCCCAAAATGAAAAAAATAACGTTATGATTAAAAAATCACAAGCACCGATTGAAAAAACTAAATACACCGATTTCCCAAACTGTTTGCCATATTCTGATTTCACAAAAACACTTTTACGTTTGTACTATGTCCTCTAATACAGTGGCCGAAAACTAAAATTCTTTTGGGCCGAAATCTAAAATTTGGGGCCAAAATCTAGCGTTTTGCATATTTTTCACATCAAAAATTATTATAAAAAATAGATTTCTTTTGTAGCATCAAAGAGTTATAGAAATGAAAACTACATTATATAAGCTACAAATTAACATTAACAGCAATAGGTCAACATAATGGCTATTATTTTTTAGTGTACCTTAAAGTTGACAACTTCACTAAAACGCCGAAAACCAGCACATCAACCCTACATGGCTCATGTCATTAAAATTGAAATATCTTAATAATTATGAATGGAAACTCTATAAAATAATATGTTGTTAGAATTATTGTAAAATAAGCTAATAGAATATGTGTAAATGTGTACATTCAACTTTTTTATATTTTCTAAATTCCATGGTAAAAATGCTAAAAGCGATTTTTTTCCAGCTTGGTGAATAAAAAATTGTACAAAAAAAACCGAGATAAGTAGGTTAATGATATTAAAACAATGTTGAATGAGTAAGAGGGAGATACAGATACATTTACTGCGGCTGTTTCGTGTCTGAAGTTTATAAGTAAATTGCAACCTTCTAAAGGTTGGACAGACGCGTACTTTTTTAATAGCGACCTTTAGAAGGTTTTGGACAGCCGAGAGTATAATTGAATTTTACCTACCCTGTATACCAGACGTTACTTTTTAACAACAGTGAGCATACAATACTAAGAGGTAATTTACCTTAACATTACGTGAATTGCAATCTAAACAATAGTGTCTATTTAATTTTCCACATTTTACTAAATCTTCAACCTCATCTTCATCATATAAAAATCCATCAACGTGACGTGTGTTGATATCATTGCAATCTGACTGATTACCAACAATAGGAGGCACTATATTTTCAGTTAACAGCTCAGCTCCAATAGGTATATAGTTTTTTAAAGAATCTCCTATTTTAATTAGCTTTTTTTCATTATTTTGAAATATTCTTTTGAGCTTTAAATCTGAAACGAAATATTAAGAAAATATATAGTAAATCAATCCACAGTCATAAACAAATCTTTTAGCATCTTTGAGGTTACCATTTCGAAATGTGTGTGATACAATCCAATGTTCAATCGAGTTCAATTCAGATTCATCCAATTCCGAAAGCAATTCAAGAATTCGAAATTTAGTATTTATTACACCATCATCGGACATTGTCAGCAAGAACCAAAATAAATAACTACTTTAATAATAATAATACTTGATACCAGTGTTTCCAATTTAATGATTTCCTTTCCCCACGCCTCAATTGAGATTTCCCCTTTTCAGGACTTTTTTCCCCTCAAAAATTATTCTGCTGTAGTTTTAGCATTAGTAGTAAAAATCTGCTCATTCAACCTCATAATATCATTTTGTGGTACATAATCACTTATAATTGGGTGATACATACTAAATAATAACCAAGCATAGGTACCACAGAGTAAAATTGCGCTGAAACATCGAAAAACTTGTCGACTTTGCTCATCACTAGTTTGATGTAACTGCACATCACTGGCTGTCAATTTCTTTAGGATTTAAAAAAGACGAATCATTGTGCACATGTTCAAATACAAATCGTTTCAAGCGTGAAGACTCTCATAATATTCCTGTGCGCATAGTAAACTCCGAAACGGATATTGAACGTATTTTTGGTGTACCCTATTCAAAAATTTCTAAATAATGTTAAATGTATTTTGGGGCTCCTTACTATTTTATTTTTGTTCATTGTATTAGATAATATTGTGCTTTTTATTATACCTTATACTTTATTATTAATTACATGTTATTTCATACCTTTTAATTCCTATGTTTTATACCATATTTCATTACGTCTATATTCTGCAGTAGTTTGCAGTAGTAATATTGTACGTGTGGTAGTATTTTTAACCTTAAGTGCTAATAAAGCTTCTGTCCTGCAGAATCTATATTATTGCGTAAACATTTTTATGACTTTGTTAATTTTTTTGGAATTGGTTAACGTTATTTTAACTTACTTAGTTAGTTTTACTTACTTTCTTTTGTTAGCTAGTACAAGTATAGAAATATGTTGTTTTTATTCTGAATATTTTTTAATAATTATTTTTACCTTATTTTATTCTCATTTTTGTGCGAGTACTTTGTAAAATTTTTTGCTTGTTTGTATGTATTTTTTGATGATATATTGAAATTAATTATAGATTGAAAATAATTACAAATTATAATATTATATGTTACTATAAATACTCTTTAATTATTTGTGTTCAACATATCGACGATTATATACATGAAATGATTATTCATACAAAAATATTATTACAATATGGCTACTACTAAAAGTAAAAGTTTAAGAGGTGGCCTTTATAATGCTGGGTCGATCAGAAGCAAAAACGATGAGTTTCAGGCAGCTCTGCTACGTGAGTCTGCTGATAATATGGCGATAAACGAAACGTGGCTACGAGCTGGTGAAGATGCCTGTGCTCCGTTAGTTCCCGGCTATCGCTTCAGTCATATTCCCCGTTCTTGTAACCTATCTAGGACACGTGGTGTTGGTGTTGGTTTTTACATCAAACGAGGGATTAATGCTCGTTCTTATTCCCATAATATTATCTTTGATGAGGTGGAGCAGCAGTGGCTATCGCTATCCATTAACAAAGTGAAGCTTTTAATCGGAACGGCCTATCGACCACAATGGGTAAATGTAGAAAGGTTCTTTGATTCTCTTACAGACACTTTAACTTCGTATTCAAATTTCGATAATATAATTTTATTAGATTTCAATATAAATATTTTGGATGAAAGTGACAACAAAACGCAACAGCTTAATCAATTCTTGCAATATACTAGGTTGAAAAACTGTATTTTTCAACCTACCCACTTTACACAAGAGAGTGCTACATTAATTGATTTGGTAATGACGGACGCCGGTGTGACTAATACTAGTGTAAAATATACTCCTGAACTTGGTGGTCATGCTATCATATTAGTTGATTTTAAGATTAAACGACCTAAGGTAGCTCTAAGGCAGCAAATTATAAGACCCATGAAAAATATCAATCTGTCAGATTTTGAGTCGGAAGTTGAATCCATAAATTGGGATAGCATCACTAGGTACAATTGTGTGAGTGATATGGTTTCTGTTTTCTCCAAACGCATTTTAGAGTTGTTTGATAAACATGCTCCAGAGAAACTAATAATTATGCGTAAAAAACAATTGCCATGGTTCACGAGTAATGTTAAGTACATTATGCGGCTCCGGGATAGCGCGCACAATAAATATCGTAACACAAAAACTGAGAGAGATAAAATTCAATATAAGACCGTTAAAAGTCTGGTAAACAGCACTCTCTATGCCGAAAAGAAGGCATATTTTGATTACCACATTAATCAACATTTACATAACACAAATGTTCTATGGAAAAATTTGATCATTTGCGTTACCATCATTTAAAAGTTCAAATGAATTACCAGAATATTTTAGTGATCCCGACGAAATTAATCGTCACTTTTTGAGTATACCGGGAACAAACATCGCCTATTCACCTAATGTAATTAATTTGGAAAGTATAAACCGTATATCTGATACTTTTAAGCTAATGCCAGTTAATGAAAATTGTAGTTGAAAAAATCATAATGGGAATTAAGTCAAATGCTCAAGGCGTTGACCGCATTAATATGGATATGATAATTCTAACGCTTCCGATAACTTTAAATGTTATAACTACAGTAATTAATAAATCCATTACAGAGTCTGTTTTCCCTTCTTCTTGGAAAACTGTGCTTATTCGTCCAATACCAAAAAAAGTAACCCAACAAATGTAGGTGACCTAAGGCCCATTAGTATACTTCCTTATTTATCGAAAATACTTGAAAAGGTTGTTTACTCACAAGTTTTGAATTTCTGTGAAAAACATCAAATAATACCCAACCTACAATCAGGTTTTAGAAAAAATTACGGTACAGCAACGGCTCTGATTAATGTCGTGGATGATCTGTTATCTTTTTTGGATTCTGGAGAAGGTACTATTCTCACTTTATTAGATTTTTCAAGGGCCTTTGACTCAATTAACACAAATTTGCTGATTTGTAAGCTTTCATATTACGGCTTTGATAAAGAAACACTCAAGTGGTTCAAAAGCTATTTAATTGACCGTCATCAACAAGTAGTTTTAGACGGGCAAAATGGTAAAAACTGTGTCTCGAAGCTTCTTCCTGTTGATAGAGGTGTTCCGCAAGGTTCCGTGTTAGGGCCTTTACTTTTTATCATTTACAGCGCTGATATAATAAACTGTCTCCAAAACTGTAAATACCATCTATACGCCGATAGATCGAAAAAATATTAATGCACCCATAGATCGAAAAAATATTAATGCTTTAGTAAATAAGTTAAATCAGGATCTTCAACGTACTTGCGATTGGTCACAAAATAACTCTATGGTAATTAATCCTTCAAAGTCGAAATTCCTTATCATTGGCACTAAAAAGCAGGTACACGATATTGCTACAACTAAACCCGACATACGTGTTAATGCACAAGTTCACGAAGCACGTAATTTAGGCATTCTTTTTGACAGCAATTTGAGGTTTGAAAACCATGTAACCAATTTGGTACAAAACTGCTTTTACAGGTTAAAAGTTCTATACAAATTTAGATAATTCATTACAGTTAATTTACGTGTAAAACTTTGTGAAACTCTAATTTTAGCTAAATTAAATTATTGTATAACTGTTTACGGACCTTGTTTGCTTAAGAAATCTCAAAAATTAATCCAAAGGGTACAGAATGCTTGTGCACGCTATTGCTTTTACATACCGAGACGATCTCATGTCACGTCATATCTTAATGCTTCGAATATGTTAAAAATGCAGGGGCATCTCAAACTTTTTTATGCTTCTTTGCTATTCGGTGTAATAAATACAAAGAACCCAGAATATTTATACAAAAAACTTAACTGGAGAAATGACCAACATTTATATAAAATCCGACTATGCTCTAAAGTTTTTTGCGTCCCTAAACACAAAACATCGGCTTTTCGGGGCAGTTTTAAGTTTATGGCAACTAAGTGTTGGAATGATCTCCCACCACCTCTACGCACTATGACAAGTAAAAACAGTTTTAAAAAGAATTATAGACATCACTTACTAAGCGAAAAATTACTATCATAATCGTATTATTCTTACTAAATCACAGGGCCGTTTTATAAATAAAATAAATAAACATTGGCAGTAGGCGGTAGTAGATTTATAAGCTCAAATAAGTTAGGCTCAGTAAAATAAATAATATTTAATACTTTGCTGTTATGTTACTATTAGTTGTATTGTTGCAATTATTATTAATAATATAAATTTTATGAAAAATTTATGATAATTATTATATTATATTATATATTTTTAATTATTAATTTGAACTGGCTAATACTCGAAATACTCGTAATACTCGTAATACTCGCAATACTCGCAAAAAAAAAAAATAACACTCGCTAATACTTAGGAAAACACGACATGTACTCTAATATGAACAGTTGTTAAATGTAATTTAAGCAGGGATGCGCGCGTACTGTACTCTTCATTTGTTGGGCGCTAGCAGAATAACAGCGTTGTAGGCAACTGCAACATTTATGCTGAGCTAGAGCCCATTCATTACTACACTATGTAATTTTGGTTATTTCTGTGTATACTGCTCACTGTAACCATATTGGTGGTAATGAATAAATGTTTTATTATTATTATATTATTATTACATCATATGAAACAGGGAGTTCGTCACTGATGCAGTCGGATATTTTAACCATTTTAGTGCGATTTGTAAGGTAAATATGAAAAAGTATAACTGTAAACCTCCGACGCCCATTTGCTCTTACTTGGCTAGAAGTGTAGAAACAGGAATTGTGTCAAAGGCTTTTGCTAGATCTAGAAATTTTGTTACCACCTTCTTATGATTTATGACTATGAAATTTATTATTTTATGAACAGCATCAGAAGTTCATTTATTTTTACGAAATCAGAATTATTGAGGTGAGATTAATTTAAAGTGTTTAAGATAATGGATTAGTCTATTGTTCACTAAACGTTCTAAGAGTTTAGATAAGGCGGGTAGTACGTTAATAGGGCGATAATTAGTAAGAAAAGTCCCGTCACCAATCTTGAAAATGGGATGTATTGGACTTTTTTAAAGAGTTAGGAAAAATAGCATTTTCGAA